GGGAGCGCAAGCATGCACAAGGATTGCATCATTCGCCATGATCTGATGCTGTCTCTGATGTGAACCTGAAAGGTCAATTCGTATTTCCACGGTTGCGTCTCATCCGCCTTCCTGAAATAAAATATTTAAACACATGATTGGACCTCGGCTTTTAAATATATCTTCTCATAGTGAGGTGGGAGGAAGCAGCGGGCGTGTATGTACAGGGACAGCTACAACCTGTCTTTGCTCTGCACTGACCTAGACAACTCCGAAATAAGATGTGCATCACCTCGACGCACATCGCTCGATTCTCAATATGCTCCTATTATAACAATCATCGTCTTGCCATGTCTCACATTGGTCTGGAGGAAACTAGACAGAGCACATATCCCGAATGCCAAGTATTTTTCAGCACGACTACGCCGCATCATGATGGCTTGTTGCCTAAAATCAAGGCCAAATGTGATATCTCAGCGTGTCTGTTGCCGGTCATATACGCTGGTTCTTCATGTTGACCTGGACTCCTTTGGAATTTTGATAAAATGAAACTTCAAATAAGCCCCTAATATGCGCGCAAGCCCGTTCTTAATCCCAGCAGGATTTTCCGGCGTGTTTGCAAGTCACTCTGCGTACTTTCATCTTCTCCCATTTGTCCTCTCCGTCCACCAGTGCACACTATCAAGCATTCGTCACACACCTTCCTATGTGTGTCGCACGTAAAACAGAGACGTCCCATCATCTTAGCCATCAGTCTACGTCCACTCCCCTTGCCTGTCGCTACTCCGTCTGCCTCATCGGCTGGTCCAATGCCTTTATGGCGCATGTCCAATGGAAAACTGGACATGGGCGCAATGCTGATCGTCCTCTGGATCATCCGCAGCGAAGGACATGTCACAGTTTTGTCTAAAACGCCACGTCAATATTCACAACGGACTGCAATCCACCGCCAGTGCCATCAGTCATTGACAATAGTTCTGTTTGTGGATCATCGTCGGAGACACTTTTTGGCTCATATAGGCCGAGCAGTAGTTTCAGAGTCTCGGGCGACCTCCCACACCCACATCAGTTTATTGTGAGGCAGACCTACGCATCATCTCCCTCCCTTCCACACCCACCGGGCTCCGATGGAAAGACAATGTCCAGATGACCGGAGGTGGGATCGGGCGCAGTGGTGGACAAAGCTGCAAACTGTCCGTCTATGCATTCCCTCACGAGACCCCTCTCTCCCTCCCACACCCACCGGACTGCGATGGAAAGACAATGTCCAGATGACCGGAGGTGGGATCGGGCGCAGTGGTGGACAAAGCTGCAAACTGTCCGTATATGCGATCGCTGACGCGATCTGGTAAAGCATCGGGTTGTGTGAAAGAACATGCATCACACAGGCGTGAGCAATTCCTGTCCCGAAATATCGAGGCATGCTTACGAAGTCACATATTGAGGAGTTAAAGCAACTCCAACAGGGCAAAGATAAGGAAACTGGTGTTGTTTTGATGGACAGAGCCGACTAAATTGTAAAATCCAGTCAGTCCTGTCGGACCAGGAAC